CATCATTGTTGTTTGGCGGGTCCGGGCTGGGGATTCGAACCTGCCACCTTAGGTGTACGTGGCTGGCGCCTTAGCCGGTTGAGCTATAGGTGCTGAGCCCAGGTCTGTGATTCTTAATAATGCTTCAGTGATTTCAACGATGTCCTGGGCTTTTGTTTCAAGGTTACTGGAGGTTTGAGGCTTGGCAGGGACCTGCCTGCGAAAGGCCAAGGGCCTCAGTGTACACATTCAGGCCCCAGACAGGGGACATGAGGTTGAGGGCAGAACCCCTGGGTGGATGATCTGTGGCTCTTAGACTCTATTTTCTGATTATTTTCTCCCCAGAATGGCTCGAATGTGTTCAGTCTGTCACGATTTTTCTAAATCAGCCCATGTGTCCTAACCGTGACTGGGTTTTCTCTCCCTGATAGAAGCATACGATTCCTGACCTTTATGGTCAGAAGAGAGCAGCAATGTCCCCACTTTATTCCTGAGGCCCCATGACACTCACCACCAGGTTGAACTGAATGGCATTGTCCTTGATAGCAGGAGACAGAAGGTCAAACTCCAGGCGGTCAGGGCTGAGAGAAATGGGCACTGCTCGGAGGCAAGAAGAAAGGTCTGTGAGGGCGGGGAGCAGTACTGGATGGGGTGGTTTGGGGGCTGCTTTGAGCTGGATTATTGCCTGGAGAAGTGAGTAGCAGGGGCAGGTGATAATGATGCTGATAATGAGGAAAATGATGGGCTGGGCAAGGTGGCTCCCTATTACTCTGGGAGGCCAAGGCTGGTGGATTGCTTGAGCTCAGGAGTTCAAGGCCAGCCTGAATAAGAGTGAGACCCCCATCTCTACTAAAAATAGAAAAACTAGGTGATGGCAGGAGCCCGTAGTCTCATCTAATCAGGAGGCTGAGGCAAGAGGATTGCTTGAACCCAGGAGTTTGAGGCTGCTGTGAGCTATGAGGCTAAAGGCTATGGCATTACACCCAGGGCTACAGAGTGAGGCTCTGCCTCAAAACCAAGGCACAGCAAGAAAAGGGAAATGAGGATAACGACTGACATTGAGTGTATACCAAATACCAGGCACTGTGCTAAACCTTAACGCGGGTTGGCTCATTAATCTTCAAAATGACCCCAGGAAGTGTTATTATTACCCCCCTTTTAGAGAAACTAAGGCTCAGAAAAGTGAAATGACTTGCTCGAGCTCATATTGTGAGAGGGTATGAGTCAGTTTTATGTCATAGTCTTGGGATGGAACAAAATGGAATTATTGTTTATAATTCTCCACCGTCCTCACGACACTGAATCTGGCATGCTCCGCTGGGCCAGGTTCTGGGTCTGGACAGCTGGTTCACACCCATCTATCCGCGGGATCGCAAGTGTTCATCTCTGGATTCCCCACTTGGCCGCCAGGTGGCGGTGGTGTCTCATCCATCCCGGCTGGAGGGCTGAGGATAGGGCGGATCTAGAGGGGATCGCCGGTATTTGGCCCTTGGGCCACCTCCTGCCTCCTGCTCAGGGGAGAATTCCTACCCTACCGTTGGGGAGCACAGTAGCCAGTTGGACTTCGGTTTAAACCCCGCAGATAGTGGCTATTCTCTTCTTGCCCCTAAATCTGTTTCCTCATCTTAAATTCCTGCCTTATGTGAGGAACTGGCACCTGGTAACCACCGAATCTGAATTACACCCACTTGGAACTAGACGAATTGGGTTCAAGGCTTCCCATATTACCAGTTGCCTCTGTGAGCTCGGACAAATGACTTAATTACTCTGAGCCCCAGTTTCCCACATCTAAAGAGGGTTGATGATCACTACTGCATGGAGCTGTTTGGGGAGCCAGTGAGACAGTGCATGTAGAATACCCAGCCCCTGGCAGAGCTCTCTGGGCACTCAATCAGCACTTCATTTCATTCTCCTCTTCCTGCTCCTTTCTGGTCACCCTTTGAAAGAGCCTCTTCAGATCTCAAATCAGCAGATGGTAGGTTTTCTTCTTTCTTGCATATTTCTACTGTGGGAGTTCCAAGCAAGGCAGATTTCTGATGTGGGGGCAGAAGCCTGTCCTCACATCTCTGCTGCTCTTAGAGAGGAAGAAATGACCTCCTTGCTCAGCAGACATCTCTTCCCTTGTTTCCTGTCCTCTAATAGCACACATACCACTCTCCAGCCACCCATATCCATCCATTCAGCATTCTAAAACACGTCTCTGTGCCAGGCAGAGCACCTGCTATGTGCCTGGAAGTTTCCTTTAACCTTCTTTTTTTTTTTTTTTTTTTGAGACAGAGTCTCACTCTGTCACCCTGGGTAGAGTGTGGTAGCCTCATAGCTCACAGCAACCTCAAACTCCTGGACTGAAGCCATCGTCTTGCCTCAGCCTCCAGAGTAGCTGAGACTACAGGTACCCACCACGACACCCAGCTAGTTTTTTCTAGTTTTAGTAGAGATAGGGTCTCACCCTCACTCAGGCTGGCCTGAAACTCCTGACTTCAAGCAATCCACTGGCTTCAGCTCCCAGATTCTAGAATTACAGGTATTAGCCACCACACCCAGTTTCCTGTAAACTTGTAATCCTCATTAACAATCCTGTGAGGTCCCTTAGGATATATAAGCCCCATTTTTCAGATGAGGAAACCAAGAGTAAAAGGTGGGATGGCTTTCCCAAGGTCATGGAGCAAGTCAGTGGTGGAGCTGAGATTTTTTTTTTTTTTTGGGAGACAGAGCCTCAAGCTGTCCCCCTGGGTAGAGGGCCGTGGCATTACAGCTCACAGCAACCTCCAACTCATGGGCTCAAGCGAGTCTCCTGCCTCCGCCTCCCAAGTAGCTGGGACCACAGGCGCCCGCCACAATGCCCGGCTATTTTTTGGTTGTAGCCGTCATTGTTGTTTTTTTGGCGGGTCCGGGCTGGGGATTCAAACCCGCCACCTTTGGTGTATGTGGCTGGCGCCTTAGCCGGTTGAGCTATAGGCGCCGAGCCGGAGCTGAGATTTGATTTGAGTTTATCTGGGGCATCTGCTGGCCTCATATAGAAGAGTAGGAACTTATTAAGTCCCAGTCATGGTGAATTTCTGTCTGCTTCTCTTGGGCAGGCATTAACTGATGCTCCTCTCACCTGCTGCTGGCCCCAGTCATTGCTCAGGCCTGACAAGGGTGGCCTCCCTTGGGTGGTCGCAGGGCCTGGAGGCAGCTCCATGGGAAAGGAGAAGGTGGAAGGGAGAGCAGGGCACCTACCCTTTACCATCTTCAGGAGGTCTGCGTACATGTCATTGAAGGCCAGTTCGATCACGGGACACAGCTGCAACAGCACAAACACAGGGGTTCTATTAGTGAGGCTAGAATGCAGCCTGACGGTGATCCCTGCCTGGCCCACCTGGCCCACCTGATCCCATGGGGTTTGAAGATCATAGATGTGTCCATACTCCTGGTCATCTCTGCTGCTCAGAGTCCACCTAGCTGCCAGGGCCACTTGGGACCTTTTGCAATGGTTTGTTCCTTGCCCAGTACCCAGAGTGTACCTGGGCTGCCAGCCCACAAGAGCCCATATTTTCCATTGCAGCAGTTCTCAGCCTGTGGGTCGTGACCCCTTTCTTTCATTTGTAACAAGGAGGCAATTAGGAAGGTTAAGAACCACTGTCAGAAATGGAGAATTCACTTATTCATCCAATAAGTTAACTACTGAATTCCTTATAAATGTAAGACCCTAGAGGCCAGAAGAAAGACCCTACCAGACCAGATTCTTCACAAGTCTCTATGCCCTTTGTCCTTTTCTATCCCCAACACATCCTTTTGCCCGCTAAGCAATTCTCTTACTAAAATTTCCAGTAGGAAAATTAGAGTAGTGGGGTGTTTTTGTCAACAGGGGGTGATTTTGTCCCTCAGGAGACATTTGGAAATTTCTAGAGACATTTTTAGTTGTCACATCTTGGGGTAATGTGGATGTTACTGACATCAAGCTGAGCGGGGCTGTCTTGTTTATCCTGTAATATACAGGACAGCTCCCATGACAAAGAATTGTAAAAATGTTAGTGGTGCCAAAGTTGAGAAACTCTGGCCTAACCTAACTCTGGCCCCAGCTGTTCTGCATAAGGAGGAGATTAAACATTTGACTCACTTGTCTGTGGGACCCAAAGGCTGTGTTCTTTGCTCTCAGGAAGGCTTTTATGCAGAGAAGTGCTCCAAGATTGTTGAGGACATTTTTTTTTGTCTTAGGTACAATTGTCCTAGTGGAAGAACCTTCTACTTGGCCACCCCTTAATTCATTGACAATGTATTAGTGACAATGCATTTGGGAAGTGTTAACTTTTTCTATGACTACCCATTCCTTGCTCCCAGCTGCTTTGCCAACCCAGAACTCAGAGAGGATGGAAGAGTCAGCTCAGAGGCGCCGCGATGCACTGCCAGGGGACTACTTGTTCCTCGCAGGAAAGGTGTCCCTGGCAACCTCTGCACTTTCTCCCACAACTCCCCATCCTTCATTCCTATCCATGGGTCTCAACCCTGGCAGTGGAGTTCTCTGGGACACTAGGGCCCCACTGAGACCAATTACATCCGAATCTGGGGAAGGCCAGACTTCAATAGTTTTAAAAGCCATCCAAGGTTCTGATGTGCAGCCTGAGTTGAGGAGTCACAAATTTACATTGCAAAGGGTTTCAACATTTTCTAAATGAGCTCCTGCCAGTCGCTCATCCCTTAAATGAGCTGTGCCTTTTCCCTTCATACGAAATAAAATATTCATATGACCATTGCATCAAATCCAGCGAATCATAATAGAAAACTGTGATGATAAATGAGGTGCTGGTTTTCTCACCTTGTTCTCTCCCCTTGGCTTTTCAGCCTTAAAGGCAGGTACTATGCAAAGAGCATTGTATCATTCCAAATTCTTGCCACCATTTCTAGTGGAAAATATATTTTAACTATTCAAGTGTGGATAAAAATATGATGTTGCCGGAGTCTGGGAAAAAATTTACAGCTGAATCTGACTTTAAGAAATTCCCACCTTGGCTCGGCGCCTGTGGCTCAAGCGGCTAAGGCGCTAGCCACATACACCTAAGATGGCGGGTTCGAATCCCCAGCCCGGGCCCGCCAAACAACAATGATGGCTGCAACCAAAAAATGGCCAGGCATTGTGGTGGGTGCCTGTAGTCCCAGCTACTTGGGAGGCGGAGGCAGGAGACTCGCTTGAGCCCAGGAGTTGGAGGTTGCTGTGAGCGTGATGCCATGGCACTCTACCCAGGGGGATAGCTTGAGGCTCTGTCTCAAAAAAAAAACAAAAAACAAAAAAAAAAAAAAAGAAATTCCCACCTTTAAATAGAAAAATAAAATTCTTTTTTTTTTTTTTTTTGAGACAGGAGCCTCAAGTTGTCCCGCTGGGTAGAGTGCCGTGGCATCTCAGCTCACAGCAACCTCCAACTCCTGGGCTCAAGCAAGTCTCCTGCCTCAGCCTCCCAAGTAGCTGGGACCATAGGCTCCCGCCACAATGCCCGGCTATTTTTGGTTGCAGCCATCATTGTTGTTTGGCGGGCTGGGGCTGGATTCGAACCCACCACCTTAGGTGTATGTGGCTGGCGCCTTAGCCACTTGAGCCACAGGCACCGAGCCAAAAAATAAAATTCTTCAAAAAAAAAAAAAATCTCATGTAAGAAAATCCTGACTGTAAAAATTATTCACTTTCAGATTCCCTTGAAAATTCTCCCGGGATCGGTACCTTTGTTACCAAGTAGGAGTCTCAGAATTCTAACAATAAGAAACTATTGTCTTGACTTGGATATCACACATTTATTCATTCATATTCATTCACTCTTTCCTCTCTCTGTTTCTCCTCATTTTCTTCCAGCAAAATATTGGAAAAATGGCTCAATGACTGTAGCTCCATGGTTAGGGCGCTGGCCATATACACTGGGGCTGGTGGGTTCAAAACTGGCCCGAGCCTGCTAAACAATGACAACTGCAACAAAAAAATAGCCAGGCATTGTGGTGGGCGCCCGTAGTCCTAGCTACTAGGGAGGCTGAGGCAAGAGAATGGCTTAAGCCCAAGAGTTGGAGGTTGTTGTGAACTGTGACGCTACAGCACTCTACCAAGGGCCATACAGTGAAATTCTGCCTCAAAAAAAAAAAAAAAAAAAAAAGATATTGGAAAAAAGTAGTTTGAGTTGAGCTGAATCAATATCTCTTGTGAAATTAACCATTTAAAATCTCATTTGAACTTCATTCAGTTTTTGATTATTCACTTATTTCCCCTGGACTCTTTAATAGGTAGATATTTAGTCTATTAAAATAATGAACCTTCCTCTGATTAAATATAATATTCTTAAGCTTTACTAGTGTAGAAGCAAAATTTGAAAATCTTAACCCTGGCTTAATAAAAAACCAAGCAAATAATTCTGTATTGTACAGTTGATACATATTTCACAAAATACAGGCAAAATACTTTAGGCAGTGGTTCTCAACCTTCCTAATGCTGCAACTCTTTAATACAGTTCCTCATGTTGTGGGGACCCCCAACCATAAAATTGTTATTATTTTCATTGCTACTTTATAACTGAAATATGTGTTTTCCCATGGTCTTAGGTGACCCCTGTGAAAGGGTCGTTTGACCCCCAAAGGGGTTGCGACCCACAGGTTGAGAACCACTGCTTTATTGACTCAGAAAATAAAAAAACCAAACCCAAAACCCATCAGGACCTGGTGGCTGGCACACTCCTAAGACCAAAAGCAGAGTCCTGTGAGACAGTGGCATGCTAGAGTTTGCTTATACTTGTTTTTGAGAACCAATTGCTAACTTATCAGGAATTTCTGAACTGGGTGTTAAATTCAGATGTTATTAAAAATTAAATTATATAAACTTACAATTAAGGAAGGATTAAAAATTAATAGAAACCGAAAATGTATTACTTCCTAAATATTTTGCTGTATTTTATATTATCGATAGCTCCCAAGGTCATGTCTATTGTATCTGTTTGGAGGAAATACTACACCATAGTGTGCTCCTAGGGGTCTATCTCTAACTCTGTTCAGTGACCTCACATAGCCTAAAATTAGCCCTGGAGGGAGTGTTTACACCAGGGAAATCAGGAAAAGCTCAAAATCAGGGCTCCTTCCCTTCATCCACACCAGAGACGATTGTTAAAAACTTATCAGCACATCACTGTTCAAGGCCTCCTGGTTGACTTTTGGCAGTTCAGTGACCTTAACCTCAACGATCTGCCTGTGTTAATGGCCCAATCCATTGCTGTTTACCTTACTGAAAGAATTATGCAGACCCAGCAGTATCCTGCTCAATGAGACACAGTCCCTTAGCACCAGATTGCATTTCCACCCATCCCCACAGGAGGCGCAATCTCCGCAAGCCAGAGAGGCCCAGATTCCACTTACCTCGTTTTTCACCAGTTGGGGAAGGGCTGGCGCCAGGAGCTCTATGACCTTGTCTGCTAAGATGTTGACCAAGATGGAGAGCCTTTGAGAGAGGAGAGTGGGGAGAGATTAGGAAGGGTCAGATGATCACCCTTCCCCATTTCAAGAGTGGGAGACTGAGGCCTGGGGAGAAGGAACTTGTCCAAGGTCATGTGACCTGTTAGAGATAGGGCTGAGAGTAGCCAGTGGCAGACAGTTTTCTGGAAGCTGGGCCTGAATGTACTCTTTAGAAATTTGTGCTGGACATTGAGATGATGAGAGCTCGCCTTTCTTCCCATACTCCTGCTGAGAAGGGAAGGACAGAGCCATTTTTTGAGTGCCTGCCATGTGCCATGCACTGTTCTGAGTGCTTGAGAATTGCAGCCTGATCGAGTCCCCTCATTGCCACCTGGAAGCATCACCTGCATTTTACAGATGAGGATAGTGAGACACAGGGAGGTGACTTGACCAACATCATCCAGACAGTGAGGTAGGAAGCAGCATTCTCCTGACTCCAAAGCCTTTGCTTCTATCCCTGGTGGTTAGAGGGGCCTCCCGTGCCTGCCTCGGGTGGTTGGAGGGGCCATAGGAAGAAGGCTCCTCTCCACTTTCCAATGTTTGCCCCACTTCCTGGCGTCACGCCTGAAATCCTAGCATTATTGCCTCTGCCTTAGATATCCTGACCTTTCTTTGGCATTACAGATTCCCTGGAAGGAGCCCCAGATCTGGAATCAGGAGAAATGCATCGCTTTCCTTCTCTTTTCTTTTTTTTTTTTTTTTTGAGACAGAGCCTCAAGCTGTCCCCCTGGGCAGAGGGCTGTGGCATTACAGCTCACAGCAACCTCCAACTCCTGGGCTCAAGCGAGTCTCCTGCCTCAGCCTCCCAAGTAGCTGGGACCACAGGCGCCCGCCGCAAATGCCCGGCTATTTTTTGGTTGCAGCCATCATTGTTGTTTGGCGGTCCGGGCTGGGGATTCGAACCCGCCACCTTAGGTGTACGTGGCTGGCGCCTTAGCCAGTTGAGCTATTGGCGCCGAGCCATCGCTTTCCTTTTCTAGGCCTCAGTGCTTTCCATTTGTAAAGTCGAGACACGTGACTCCTTCCACCTCCCCATCCCTTCCAGGCCTGGCAGGAGCCCAGCTGGTGGTGGCCACACTCACTTGTATAGCAGGGTCAGGCGCAGGCTCCCAGGGCTTGTAGAGCAGTTGCTCAGGATGTGGCGGGTGGGGCCTTCCTTGCTGGTCTCCACTCGGATGACGGCTTGGATCTCCGTCTGCATCTGCAGCTTCACAATGGTCTTGACCAGGGGCCTGGGGACAGAGGCATCTGGCTGTGTGAGGGCCACGGAAGCTGGGGGTTGGAGCACACATTCTACCCCGTTCTTGATCTCTTTTGCCGGTTTCTCCTGGTCTGTCCAACTCCTTCACTCCAGCTTTTCCCAGCTCCATTTTTCCATTCTTCTGGTTTAAATCTCATTTGTATGCTGACAGCTTCCAAACTTTTACCCAAGTCCCTGCTCGGATGTCTCCTAGGCTTCTCAAGTTCAGCATGTACAACACTGAACAGGTTGTCCCATATCTGCTCTTCTCTGGGAGCTCCCTGCCAGCTATGCTGGGAAAAACCTTAGAATCATCCTCAACTTCCCTTTCTCTCTCTGTCTCTTCACATACGCACATTTAATCCTGCAGGAAATCCTGTTGTTTCTACCTACTTCCAAAATACATCTGGAAACTAAGCAACCTAAGTGCCCATCAATCCATGAATGGAACAACAAACTGTGGTATATGTACCGTGTTTCCCCGAAAATAAGACACTATCTTATATTTATTTTTTGTTTCAAGAAGACATAGGGCTTACTTTCAGGGGATGTCTTCCTTTCCGCCCTGAAATGCATGGCATGGCTATGCAGATACGCTGCATAGCCACACTCATCACTAGGTCTTATTATAGGGTAGGGCTTATATTTAACAAATGCATAGAAATCCTGCTAGGGCTTATTTTTTGAGTAGGTCTCATTTTCAGGGAAACACAATATACCATGGAATACTATTCAATCATTAAAAAAGATGAAGAGGCTCAGCACCTGGGGCTCAAGCGGCTAAGGTGCCAGCCACATACACCTGAGCTGGCGGGTTTGAATCCAGCCCGGGCCTACCAAACAACAATGATGGTTGCAATCAAAAAATAGCCGGACGTCGTGGCGGGCACCTGTGGTGGGCACCTGTGGTCCCAGCTACTGGGGAGGCAGAGGCAGGAGAATCGCTTGGGCCCAGGAGTTGGAGGTTGCTGTGAGCTGTGATACTACAGCACTCTACCCAGGGCGACAGCTTGAGGCTCTGTCTCAAAAAAAAAAAAAAAAAAAAAAGATGAAGACTTTACATCTTTTTCATTTACCTGGATGGAGTTGAAATACATTCTTCTTAGTAAAGTATCACAAGAATGGAAAAATAAATATCCCATGTACTCCATACTAGTATGAAATCAGCATATAAACAATTACATGCTCATATGAACAATAAAACACAAATGTAGTCTAATATGGGGGTAGAGAGAGGAGAGTGGGGGGAGGATGATTGGCAGAGGAGGGAGGGCAGGAGGCGGCATCTCACCTAATTTGCACATTGTGAGGGTGTATAACATACTCCCTGGGTGAGGAGCTCTTTTACAAATGGAACTTTAGCCTGGAAGTGACAACAATGGAACCTAAAAATTTGTGCCCTCATATTAATATGAAATAAAAAATAAATTAAAAAAACAAAGCAATCCCTTTCCGAACATTCCATCTAAAAAAAAAAAATCAAAACCCAAAATATATCCAGAATCCAACCTCTTTTCACCAGCTCCCTGCCACAAACCCTGGTCTAAGCCCTCCTCATCTCCTCCTGAACTGTTTGTTGCAGTAGCTTCTAGATGGCCTTGCTGCCTCTGCTCTTACCCCCACAGTCTGTTTTCCCCACAGCATCCATAGGGATTGTTTAAAAATGTTAATCTGTGCCATGTCCCTCCTCTGCTCAGTACCCTTCATGGCTCCTACCTCATCTGGTAAAAACCAAGTCCTTAATTCTGCCCACAAGGCCTTTCTGGATCTGGCCTTGGCTGTTTGCTGACCTCAGCATCCCCTTCCCTTCTCTCCCCCCTCTCTCTCTGCCACTTTGTGAGCAAGGCAAGTATACTCCTGCCTCAGGGCCTTTGCACTTGCTCTTGGCGCTGCTTGGAATTCTCTTTTCCAGACACCTATATGGGTGGAAGGGGGAATGAGGGGCTGAATCTGTCAGTCCTGCTGTACCTAAGGGGACACTCACGTGTTGAATCCGGCCACCATGTCCAGGGGAATATTGACCATTAGCTCCTGGTTGGCAGCTGAGGCTTGTACCTGCATCTGGAGAATGTTAGCTGAGGTGACTTTCAGCCTGTGTGGGATTCAGGAGAGATAAGAATCACACCTCATGCTCAGTGAGCCTTGTCCCCAGTCCTGCTCTCCCTATATCTTTCCCATCTTCCCTGAGCCCCTGATCAGCAGCTGGACCCCATTCCCTGGCTACTACATCCTCTCCAGCGTGGTCTTGCCACCATTCCTCCCCTCTGCTCCCGTGTGCAATGCTACGATGGCTCCTTCTCTTCTAGGTGATGAATCCCAGATCCTTGGGCTGACTCCTGAGACTCTCTGTGACCCAGCTCTGCTGGCCTCTTGCTCTAGCCATTTGGACTGACTCCCCCGCGGCCTCTTTGCTCAGAATGCCTTCCTGTCTTCAGGGAGCACCACTGTCACCTCCGTGGAGAAGCATCACCTCATCCCTTCACTCTCTCACCACAGGTGCCTTTCCTTTGGGGTTGTCATATTAGGGTTCCTGCGCCACTGTCTTATGGTTATTGTTAACAATTCTGGGAGCTTCCTGAAGGGGGAGCTCTCCATTCTTCGTGGTCTGACACAAACTGGTGTTTGCTGCCTGAGTGTGCAAAGGGTGTGGTGGGTAGAGATGTGGGAAGGAGCTGGCTCCCGGCATTGTCCTGCTGCACTTACCAGATGATCTTACTCAGGACAGTGTCCACCAGGCTTCCCAGCAGGGGGATGCCACTGGCTGGCTTCTCCTTCATGGCCCTGAGCAGTGGCAGCTGCTGGAGGATGGCGGTGGCACCATGGTCCTGTAGCTCCTGTGTTAGCTCTGGAGGCAGATCTCAGGGGTTAGGGGCCCGGAAGGGCAAGAAGGATGGCTTGGTGGGGACCCAAGGCTGGGGAAAGGATCACTCAGGGCTTCTCAGGCCTGACCTAAGGTGAGAGTACGGCCATCTCCACCGTGTAGGTGTGGCCTTGAGGATAGTGGCCCAGATGGGTCATTTTCACAGGAAAAGAGAGGCTGGGGCATAGGAGGGATTATTTGCAACCCTGAACATTGCTGGCCTCAGCTGGGAGCATTAGCCCTATACCTAGCACTTGGACCTTTCACCTCTTACTCCAACCTGTGGTGGACATTGCCAGAGCTGAGAGGCACAGAACAGATGGGGCTCTTCCAAATCACACTTGCTAAATTCTCTGGCATCCACATCCTAAGGCCTGTTGTCCAAAGAGCCTGAGGTGCTGAGCAGAGGAACTTGGGCCAGAGCCCTATGAGTCAGGAGCCCTGGGTTCTGGTTCCTGGTAGGCCCGAGCCCATTTGGCTCATGTGCAGAACAGATCAAGGTACTAGAGAGCTGATACCCCAGGAGGAGCCCTCAGTGGATTATTGATGAGAGTTGGAGTATAAATACCCCAGCTCCCTCAACCCTCAGACAGGATGACTCAGATGTGTATCCTCAGAGTTTCAGAGTTTCTGTGTTATTGCCTTCCAGCCACATATCTACCTATTTTGCCTGCTCTGTGATAATGGAGCTGGGCCCTGTAGATATTTCCTCTGTGACAGCTGACACAAAATTAAACGTTGTCAATAGGGGCTCTGGAAGGCATGGAGAAGTAAGGGGCTTCCCCTCATGCTGTGGTGTATTCCTCTTGCCAGGTTACTTTGGTGTCACACTTAGTGGGTTTGAGCCATGAGTTTGCAACACTCCTGATGGTTGCACTTTCTGTGGGCTCCCTGGCTATCTTCCAGGCATTTTCCCAGAGATGGCTTCTGGTGAGTTAACAGCAGTCCTCTTCCTCCCAAGGCAGCTTCCCAGAGAATTTTTTTGGCACCCCGGCAGGTAGTTCTTTCCCTGCTCACCTAGTTTGCCAACTTCTCTCCCACACAGTGGGCTTCAAACATACCCTCTCTAGTAAGGTCTGGAGAGAATTCTCTGCCTCTGAGTTCATACTCATCTTGGCTGCTCCTGCCACCCCTAGGGTATGCTTTAGAGTTTTCTCTTTTTATCCTCTTAACCAATTCCCCATGTCTCCAATCCCCTAATAATAATTCTTTTTATTAAACTTGCCTATTGGAATTACTGTGTGGTTTCTGTCTTCTGATTGGTCCTAACTAATACAGTTGCTCATCAGTCTAGTCCCCACAGTGGTAAAGTGGCTTGGAAATGCAGGCTCATGTGCCGCCTTCCCTTACCTGGCTTCTTCCCCTCTCTCCTGCAGGTGTTTCCTGGGATCACCTCCCAAATAGCCACTTGCATACAACTCCTTGACTCACATTCTGCTGTTGGGAGAACCTAAGCCATGGTTGCTCGTCTTGAGCTCCTTTTAGCTGAAATTCCACATGACCAGCATTCACTGTGTGGGTCCAGAGTGCATATCCGTCTGTCTACCTCCCACCAAGCCTCCTAGAGCTCTCTGCTTCCTGTCCTTCCTTGGGCATCCATCCTGTGGCTACAGAGCCTGCAGCCCCGGAGGACCTGGCCCTGCCCCTGCCCTCTGGCCCTGGCCCAGGTCCACTGAACGCAGAGGTCTGGTCCTCCAAGAGGTCAGGCGACCCCCTGGAGCAGACAGATTAGTCATCTGTCAGGGGATCAATCACACTTTAAAGCTGTGATTTTCAATCAAGGTGATTTTGTCCCATAGGAGACATTTGGCAATGACTAGAGACATTTTTGGTTGTTACAACTGGCTTGAGGATGCTGTTGAACATCCTACGGTGTCCAAACAACCCCATAATAAAGAGTTATTTGGCTTGCAGTGTCCGAAGGGCTGAGGTTGGGAAGCCCAGTCAGAGAATTCATAAGCTCTCATCAATTTCTGTCATGTTGGGTCTGGTGTTGTGAGGAAGGTCCCCTGATTTGTTTCTAGAGGAGGAAGCCAGGCTCAGGGACTGACCCGGGTCAGCTGGAGAATGACAAGCTATGCCCCAGATGAAGGCTGTCAGGTTCCTAGTAAGAGAAAAGGCTGCCGGGGACTAGGAGAGCACTGGGCTTCACTCTGAGGACGGGATTTCAGACAAAAACAGTGGGAGGGCAGTTGCCTCGTTGCACACAGTGGCCACAACACCCTTTCTGCAGGCCACAGAACCTCTGTGTAGTGGGTTTGGGGAATCGTAAAATTTAAGAAGGGCTTGGAATCACGGACTCTTGAGATCATAGACACTCCAAATCTATATAACTCATCCACTCACATCTCACCTGGCCCGGGACCTGAGCTGTGCCTTGCACACCCCCTAGTAATGAGGAGCTCCCTGTTCTCCTCTGGAGGGCTACCCCATCTTTCCCTTTGCTTCATGGTGGTGAGGCCTGATGGCCCCAAGACTTACTTTCCTTGATGACTTCTGGGCCAAGGTTGAGAAGCACAGGGGGGCTGAGGGTAGCTTGGACCAAGGTGTCTGTCAGTAAGCCACAGAGGAGGGTGAAGGTCCACAGGCTGGCCATCTTCCTGGGTGTTGGTGAACAGCAGGTGTCAGGCGTCAGGAGCTGGAGTGAGCACAGAGGGCCCCGCTGGCTTGGCAGAGAGGCCAAGGGCAGGCCCACAATGCTCTGTGACCTGGCGTGTGGCATCTAGGAGGGGCCATTTAGTGTGGTGGCTATCCGCCAGAGGTCAATTGTGTGGCCTTAGACAATCAGCTTAATCTCTCTGTGCCTCATTTTCTTCCTCTTCTTTTTTTTTTTTTTTTTTTTTGAGACAGAGTCTCATCATGTGGCCCTTGGTGGAGTGCTGTGGCTCACAGCAACCTCAAACTCTTGGGCTCAAGCGATTCTCTTGCCTCAGCCTCCTGAATAGCTGGGACCACAGGTGCCCACCACAATGCCTGGCCATTTGTTTGGTTGCAGTTGTTGTTGTCTAGCAGGCCCGGGCCGGGCTTGAACCAGCCACCTTTGGTGTATGTGGCTGGCGCCCTACTCACTGAGCTATGGGAACTGAGCCTGTGCCTCAGCTTTCTTATCTGACAAATAGACACAGTAACTCCTACTTCATAGGGTCGAGGGGATTAAATGAGTTAATATCTAGAAAGCATTTAACACAGTCTCACATGGTGAGCACCTGGCATATATTAGCTATTTTCTTACAGAAAACCCACTGCAGTGCTTAGGACAAGACATCTCTGCTTCTGGTTTCTCCCTCTCCCCATCACACTGGCACTCAAAACCCTATGTGGTCCAGCCTCAGGCACTCTCACTGCCTGCTGTTTTCTTCTCTCTATCAAGTTTCAAGCGTGAAGTTCCCAGGATGTGCTCTGTCCTCTCCTGGGTCTCTGCCTGTGCCCTTCCTGCTTCCTGGAATGTTGTTCTCCTTCCTCATCTGCCCGCCAAACTTCTATTGGTCTCTGACACTCTCCCTGCCACGACCCTGCCCCTTCCTTGAGCACAGCCTACACCACGTTGGCCCACACTGGGCGTTCCTTGAAGGTCAGAGACTGTCTGATGCTTCTCTCTGTCCCCAGCATCACCACAGTACTGCTGGGCACAGTCAGGGTGTGCAGAGTGGGTTTGTGTCACTGGGATATAGTCAGGAAAAGACTCAGCCATTCTCATCCCATCATCACTGCCCTTTGGTCTTCTGGGTGAGGAAGCTGGGTGCCTCTGTATGCGTTGGCCCTGGTCCTCAGCGGGTCCTGGCTGACAGTAGACCCTTACCTGGGGACCAAGGCTCCCTGTGCTCCTGACCTGACCCCAGCAGTTATGTCTAACTCAGAACCTTCTTGGCAACCTAGGCTTTTTGCCCCCTTCTTTACACTGTTACCTGGGCACGCTGGGTCCTCAGCCCGTTCCTCTCCTCTCCTGGGCAATGGGGCTGGAAATCCAGCCTTATATCCTGCACACTCCAACCCAGGTGGCCACTTTTGCCGTTGAGCTGAGTCCTAAGGCTGGGCTGAGGTCTCCAAGGTAAATATTTGTGTCTATTGGTGAACCACAGCCCTGCTTGGAGGCGGCCTCAGACTCCTGAGATTTGGAGAGAGGAGGGTCCAGGCTGGCATGAGGGTAGTGGGGCACTGTGGCACGTGGCAAGGGCACTGAACCAGGCCTGGCGTGAGCCACCCAAGGGGGTTCCTGCCTCTTGGGCCGTTGGTCCTATGGGAGAATAATGCAAACAGTAGCCATGATGAATTAACAACTGGGAGATGGCAGATGCCACCCAGGCTTCATATCAGTCATCTCGTTCAGCCTCCCTCCCCCAAGGAGGAACCAGCCTCACTCACTCAATTGGCAAATGGCAGAGTCAGGATGTGAACCAGAGCTCTGACTTCAAAACCCATCTGGTCTGGCCTGCAGCTTGGCGAACACTGGGGTGTCACCGGACAGACTGGGTTCAAGTTCTCCTCCACCATTTCCATAGTGTGTGATTTGGAGACATTTCACCACCTTTCTGAGCCTCAGTTTTTTCATCTGGGAGGTGGGACTACTGATAGCACCTCTCTCCTGGGGTGCTGAGTGGAACACAGTGCATGGGGCTTGGGGCACAGAGTAAGTACTCAGTAAAGGTAAGTGGTTGTTGCTGTTGTTACTATTATTGGTTATAATAGAACAAAGTTTGTAGAGAGGTAAGAGTTTAGTCCAGGTAATTAATCTGGGAAAAGGAAGGAGTAGCCTGCCCACCCTTATTCCTACGTGCATCCAAGGATACATATTTCCATTCATGAATTCACTCAGAAGAATAGGTTTGAATCCCATGTTTGCCACTTCTTTGCTGTGTACCCCTGGGCAAATATTTTGCCTCTCTGGGCCTCAGTGACCCCATCTGTAGAATGGAGATACTAGCAACACTTCCCCACAGACTGCTATGACTATGAACTGGGGTGCCCACACAGCACGTGGACAGGCTTTTGCCCACTCATTCTGTAGCAGTTAATGCCCACTTTACCCTCGCTGTACTGTCAGGATCTCAGTGTACATCTGTGGGGTGAAAGAATAGTGAGGCGTATGATGACCACAGGGGCAAATGTGAACAGCCCAGCAGGACCCCCACCCTCTCCGGCTGGCCCAGGCTGGGCTCACTTCTGCACCGTCACTCAGAGTGGGCGGCTGCTCCACAATTTGACAAGGGTGTCTGAGGCTCAGAGAGGTGAGTGACTCGCTTAAGGCTACATGACCAGGGTTTCCAGAGTTGGGAAGATGACACGGTCTTAGTGACCACACTGTCCTTCCCCAGTGACTCCAGGTTAGTGTTGGGGGTGGTGGTGGTGGCGACGCAAACATGGCCTTTTGGCATCATCTGGGGAATCATCCTTGCTGCCCAGCTTCTGCTTAGCAGCACCGAACTGTGGTTTAGAGCTGGAGTGGCATTGTTGAATCCTGTCTTTATTTTGCAGGGGGACAAGAGAGGGGCAGAGAGTGTCCTGAGGTCACACAGTATGTGGCCAGGTCTTGGGTAACCTTCTCTTCCTGGTTTTGCCAAGAGGAACAAGGTGAAGAGTGTTCTTCATCCTTCCATGTCCACAAATGTGCCAAAGGCCCTGCATGCCTGAAGATGAGGTGCTCCCTGAGCCAGGAGGACTCCCGGGCAGCACCCGGCCAATCCCTTGGGCACACCTCCAGAGAGGCAACGCCTCCTCCTGGACTCCCCAGCTCGCCATGCCTGCTGCCCAGGGACAATGTCCCTCTGTGGGTGCTGGAACCCAGTGCCAGGGCCTGGGTCTGTGTCAGCTCCCACTTCCTGCTGTGCACTGGGTCAGTGAGAATGGCCCCACCCCTGTGGGCCGCACGCCCATCGCCCATGCCTACCATGGTGCTGCTTGCCCCTCCTCGGCCTACTGGGGGCCTTCTGGTCTTGGTCCCACCTCTTCCCAGCTCCCAGGTCATTGTTCATGCTGTGTCACCTCCCAGCCCCCTGGAAACTCAGTGGTGCTATGTCTGGGCAGGCGGGCAGGGAACGCCTCTGGAGCCGGACAGACATGGCTCAAATTTGTATTCTTATATTGTCCCCTATGTGGCTTTCTGTCCCATCCCAAATGGGATCTTTTTGAGGGTCATGTAAGATCATGTGAAATCCTTGGAACATCAGAGAATTCATTAAGTGGTAAATGATATGATTATTGAAATATTAATACCACCAACCTTCAGGGCCCAACTCGGAAGGCGCTATCTGCATGAAGCTGCCTGACTGTTCCCCTTAGTCCCATGTCATCGTACCCACCCTGAGCCCCCAAAGTGCTAACTCTTTACTCTCTTGGGGCTTGACTCCCCCTCTGTCTTGAGGGATGTCTATTTTTCCTGTCTGTCTCCCTTCCTTCCTTTCCTTTCCTTCCTTCCCTCCTTCCATTATTCATTCATCTTTATTGTACCAGCCTGTTCTTTGGCCTCCCTGTCTTTACTTTTAGTGCCCCCTACCAAAATTCTGTTTCTATCCAACAGCCAGAATTAACTGTTAAAAACATTCTCAGACCCTGCCACTCTCTTACTTTTTAAAGACCTCCAAAGGCCTCTCTATTCCTCTTAAGTGAAAATCCAAGCTCTGTAAGACAAGACATGGTATGGGTGGCTGCTGTCTGTCTCTTAGCCTCAACTCTCACCGCATTGCTGCTTTCTCCTTTCATCTCTACCTCAGGGCCTTTGCACATGCTGAGCCTTTTCCTGGGAGTGCTCTTCTTCCCACTGTTGTTATGGTTTCTCATCTACCAAGTCTCAGTTTCAGTCTCCCCTCCTTGGAAAGACCTTGCCTGACCACCTGCCTTAAGTAGGGCTCTTTTTGCTGCACGCTGGTGGGTGAACTTGCTAGCATTTATCCTCAGCAGTGTTTACTGGAGCCTATCCGAAAACTCAAGTGTTTGTTGTTCTAGGTCCCACAGTTTCACAGATGCTGGCAGACTGGACCACAGTGCAAATAGTTGGCCAAGAACTAGTGGCACAGATCTCAGGCCCCTCTTGTAAGAGACCCTGACTCGGGTCAAGGTGACAAAAGGGTCAGGCGGGAAAAGTAAGATCTGTGAACACTGTCTTAGGAGACAGCTGCAGTACTTTTTCCTACTTCTCAAGGAGGTGGGCAGGGGTTCTGGCCCTGAGTGTGGCCCTAGTAGGAGGAGGCTTTCCACGGACCACTGGGGGCTTGAGGGCTGTGTCCTCTGGAGTTGGGACATGTAATGGACTGGGTTTTGTCTCCTGATGAGCTGAAGTCATGGTGGGCAAAATGAATTCCTTGAGTGGAAAATTACTGCTGTCTGCTTCCTCCAGATGGTGTGTGCTTTTCTCATAGGTCCTGGTGTGGACCAGAGGGAAGGAGATTGGCCTGGGGCTGGTTTAAATTCTTCTCAGTATCACTGCCTGGAAAGGTGAGAAGATTCCAGTGAAACAGGGGCTGAGGATGGCTGGGGAGGAGGGCCGGGCGGTCCACTGCTGGAGTCTGGCCTTGTGTGGGGGGACAGCTGGAGCAACCTGACAGGAGGTGTAAGAATGCCCCCCAAAGGGACCCGGAAGACTCAGCTCTAGACATTTTCTGG